CTTCGCTCAACTTGGAAATGCACCTGACGGCAAAGAGGCCCCTGAGTGGATGGACTCATGGACCATTTTCTACTGGGGATGGTGGATTGCCTGGTCACCCTTCGTTGGAATGTTCATTGCAAAGATATCCAGAGGAAGAACCATAAGACAGTTTATCAACGCAACACTCACCGCACCTGTGGCCTTTTCAATCTTGTGGTTCAGCGTTTTTGGAGGAGCAGGACTTAAAATGGAGCGAAATGCTGCTCTTGCCAATATTACATGTAACTCAACTTTGGGGGGAAAAGACGCTGTCGAGTCAATGGACGGTTTGTTCCGTCTGTCTTGTCGTGATAATACTGACATGTGGTTCGACGTGATGAACCAATATGAAGGCATGGGAAGTTTTCTTTCTGTGCTCTCCTTGATCGGCATTGTCCTTTACTTCGTTACAAGCTCTGACAGTGGCTCACTTGTTATAGACTGCCTTTCAGCCAATGGTGACCCAAAGCCTCCGGTCCTACAACGGGTCTTCTGGGCTCTGACAGAAGGTGCCACAGCCACTGCTCTTCTTTACGCCGGAGGCGACAAAGCGCTGACTGCCTTGCAGACAGTTTCCATTGCGTCTGGAGTTCCATACACAATCATGCTCTGTTTCATGTGTGTGGCTCTATGGCGGGCGGTCAAAGTGGAAGCTGGAGACTTGGATCCTAACGGTCCACACTTCACCACTGGGCTTCTGGATGTATTAAGTACCCCAAACTTTGAGAGCGTATCCAAAGTATGCATCAGCATCTTTGCTCCCTGGTACTCCATGGGAATTGCTGCTGGAATGATAGAGAAACGAAACGGTAGAATGTGGACCCATATGCTGATCATGGCGCTACCGTTCTACGCCTGTACAGCCGCGCTGGTTGTGGGATACCTTGGCTATTTTTCTGCAGAGATTTGCTACGTTGGCTGGACTCTCCTTCTTGGTTTCTTCGCCTATGCTACCGGGATACGCAACTCAATCCGCGACAAACACGAAATCAACGGAAACGTGGCTGAAGACTTCTTCGCAGTGTCCTTGTTATACCCATTTGCTGCTTACCAGATGGAACACCACATGAAAAACTATAAGTCGACAAAACGAACGGATGGGAATAATATCCGAAATGGAGACTGTCTACCAGAGTCATGTTGTATACCTCTCGGAGAGATGGAAAAACTGATGGATCCAGATGCTAGAAATACGAACGTTTGATGTTTTGAAGTCTTAGTATAAATATTATTTTATTGGACCTATAGTATTCTTCAAATTTTTGATTAAGATAATTGTTCTGTCTAGTGATTAATTAAGGATAACTTTTAAGGTTTTTAATCTTTATAAGACCTCAAGAGAGCTTTGAACTGAAATTGCGAAAACGCGTAATTTTTTCAACAGCTTTGTTGAATAAGATGTAAATACTAAATTTTATTTAAAAATTTTTAGGGTAAAAAATTTTAGTTTCGTATGTTGTAGCAGTAGTTATTTAATTGCACTTGACCACATAGTGTTGCAAAGCGCATGTGTGCATATGATATAGGCCATTGCAGAATCGTGAGAGGACTGGGAAAGAGTGTGGTTGTTTTCTGTTTGTTTGAAAAACTAAGATATTCAAATGAAAGATCAACTAAATTTGAGAGTCTTAAGCAAGAACAGAAGTATTTAGAGGAGGAAAATGGCAAAATGACAGCTCTTCAAATATCACCTAATATAGAGAGTTTGTATGGATTGGGTAGACAAGCCAAAACATTTTAAGGGTTTGTATGGAATTTTTTCAACTTTTGCAAGCCTCCGATTTGGACACTTCTCCGCTGAAAACTCTCAAACTTGTCTGGGTAGCTTTTCATTTAGTAACATTTCAGTTGAAATGTTTAGATTTTCAATGTAAAAAATATAGGAAACTCGTCCCAGTCCTCTCACGTTTCTGCAATGGGCTATGGTGAATATGCTGTACAAAGGCATTATTATCATTATTATTTTGACGATGATCATCTTTGATATTTAAAAATAATGCGATGGAAGTAAATTTGCACAAGCAAAACTATTAGAGAATCGCCGGCTGCATCACCTGCAGCGGACATTTATAAAATGAAAGATTCTGTAACCTCTTCCGTTAAAGCTAGATGTAACCGCTCCCGAGAGAAGCTGCGAAGTATTTTCTGGTTAGATTGACGCCTCTGTGATTAGTTCCTTTTAGTCAGAAAACTATAGTTAGCGTTTCAGTTCAGGATAAGACCCCGTATTCAACTTTATTTTTTCAGTTGAATAGTCAACAATTTAGACGGTAATAAAGTAATAATAAATAAATAATAATAATAATAATAATAATAATAAAGTAATCAACACCCGCGAACTTTGCTAACAATAACTTGTTTTTTGAATGTTACCTCGTAGTTGGGATTCAAAGAGAAACTTATTGCCAGTTCTTGCCTTTCTTTTGATTCTTTTAGCTGCCATTTGCTCGTTTCAAATAGTGAGATTATTCTTCATATGATCACACAATACTTAAGTAATTTCTTCACTTAATGATTTCAATTGACCGCTCCGAGATAAGAACGCCCTCAGGAATGAGAAAAGGAATAAAAAAAGAAAATATCCTATATTGGTTTGGTGTTTATCGCATGGGCGTGTATCAAACCAGAAACTAAGTTTCAATTATAGGTTAAAAAGAAACGTTTACAGATTCGAAGATGAACATTAAGAGTAACAATTCTCGCTTTAAGAAATTAAAGGCTGCCACGCGGGTACTTGTTGTAAGTAAAAGTAAACTATGGAATAAAATAAAGCGTACCGTTGGTCTTTAAAATTTCTCTGTGTATGATTATTCAGTTCGGGTATGGGTACCTTAACTAGGTTACAAATGTATTGAATGCCGCCGGACAGTCAATCACGTGATATCAGTGAATAATTGAAAGAGGAAGAGAGCAAATGAAGAGGATTTCAATCTGCTTTATGTACTAAAAAAAGCTGCAACTCATCCAGAATTTCGCCTGCAAAATCATCTGCGGCGCTCGGAAATTTGACCATGTAACGCCATTACTGGATGAACTCAACTGGCTTCCAGTTGACAAAATACTCAAATTCAGAGACGCTGTTATAGCTTGTAGGTGCGTCAACAATTTAGCTCCTGAATATCTATGTGCTAACTTTAAAACAACGATCTTCTGTACATAATCGCATAACTCATAATAATGAGAAGATTGACATTCCATTATTCAGATCAGCTACCGGTCAAAGGTCCTTTGCCTATAGAGCAGTATCTCTGTGGAACATGTTAGACGAAGACCTGAGAAACGTTACATCTGTAAAGGCTCTTAAGAAAGTCCTGAAACTTGCCATGAACGAATGATCGAGTGACTGTTAGAATTTAGAATTTGACAATAGCTTGTCAGATATAGTTAGCATTCATATTTGTGAATAGGTACTGAAAAACCTTTTTTTTGGGAGTATTTATCATTAAAGTTTAAAGTTTAAAAATTCGTACCCTTCTTGGCGAGAAAAAGTTCGTTGATAGCTTTAAAAGGGTGTAAATGAAGGGTAATTGCAATTGAAATTCGTATCGTTGTTAAGCACTTTTTTCCACCTTGGCGAGAAAATGTCCTTGACAGTTTTAGCTACATAATTTTCCATAATCAGGAAACTCTGATAACCAATTTTAACCATCCGACTCCATTTTTCACCCTCTTTGTTGACTCAGTAGCCTTATACGTTGATCTTTTCGAAACTTCGACATCCCTTCCATGGGCATTTGAACTTTTGAATAGTGGTTCGTTCACATTCCTGCACCCCTTCGTTAAAATTGCGTTCAAATGCCCTACTCGAGCATATTTTCTTTTTATCTAAGGGTTATTTGTGTTATCAACGATAGAGTTTAGTGGTCATGTACCGTATTAGTGTTTGGTGCTGTTGCAGGTGTGAAAAAAATTTTCTTTCTGGGCCATTCACTCACGAAAAAAGAAAAAAGAAATTACACCTCCAGTTCGAATTCCCCGCCCCATCCAGGCTAGGTTAGAAACCCAAACCCGCGGGAGGACCTACTGTGTCAAATGGCCGTTGGTTTGCTCGGGGGAGGCGGGGGAATCTGCCCGTAATTTTAATTTTAGAAGTGTACCGCATAGTTTACGTGGGCTCAGTACAAGGCTAGATTTACCTCCATTTAATCTTGAGTTTTTACATCGGTCATTTTAATTTTTAGCTAGTAAACTTTGGAATGCGCTACCCCCTAAACTCAGAGAATCTCAAGATATTGTTTCATTCAAGCGTTCTCTTAAAGCCCACATGGCTTAGCGGTAGTGATTGTAAATATTGTTATTGTTAATATTGTTAATATCGTAAATTTTTGTTGATAGCTCTTGTCTATGATCTTCGATCCTGTTTTTAGTTTTTTAATAGATCTACTTATTATTTGTATTCTTACAGAATCTATGTTTTCTTTCTAATTGTACATACACGTACACGTTTTAACGAGAACTTCTGTACTCCTAGGTGTCACGTGTTTAGATAAAGGATTGATTGGATTGATTGAAGTATGAATTATCGTCGGATGTTCATTGCCACAAGATAACTTCATCTGATAAAATATTTACACAGGTCATTTTTTATCAAAAGTGTTATCTGTCAGTCTTACTGATCTCTTGAAATTACCACTGATAATTGGTTCTAGAGATAACTAAAAGACAACAGAAACGTTAAGTAATGTGTCACGCAGTTGCTTTGTAACTCATATATATCTTTTCAGGTCATTACAAATCGTAGATTCTGAATGTTTTAAAACTGCGATGAATTCCCGAATGTACCGTACTGCTTTTTAAATTTTCTAAGTTTTAGACTACTACAGACTCATTACTGCGATTAGCAGGCTAAACATGTATGGTTTTCCAGAGTAGTAACCGCAGAAGTTCGCGTAGAATTCTTAAAATGGATTGATTGCGTGACTAAGAGTCACGCTCTGAATCGCATGAATGCCGCAGTCACGAGATGCTCACATGAAGAGTCTGAACGTCAAGCCACGGGGCATCTGAAGACAATTTAATTTCATGGTAATCGGAATTGTATATCACTGCCATGGAGAGGTTTTTAATCCAGTGGCTCTTGCTGTTGGCGGTTATTTCTCATACCTCATGTTTCCAAACCGAAATATCTTACAAGATCCGCGAGTATGTGCGTGAACATCAATATTTGGTGTATGCGCGACACGATCCAATCGAAGAATACACTTTGGAGCAGCCACTGGATCACTTTGAGCCGTCACAGAAGACATTAAAACAACGTTACTGGGTAAATGCCAATTATTGGAGAAAGGAAGATGGGCCAGTTTTCTTATACATCGGAGGAGAAGCAGAAATATCTGGAGCTGCTATAGACTATGGTGAGAGATTGTTTCGAAACTATATTAAGCTCTGTTATTTTCCCACAACTTCCGCGTGACTGCATGATGAGCGTTACTCCCATAATTTTACACTGCCAGATTACCAGGTTGGTTAAAACTAGTTTAGTATTAAACCTGAAAAAGCACAGAGTGAGAAATCAGCAAACTTATAAAGCTGCTTGTTTTGTCGAGATCAGTAAATTCCTAGTTATCTGAAGAAACGTTTTCAAAGTAAACTATATGGTCTTTCACTTTGACAGCTTGAAGTGAAACTGAAAAAAAATCCCCCGTTATCGTTCGACAAGAGCGCTTAATTTTGCTGTCTTTGTCTGTTGACTAAAAGTGCCCTAAGAACCACTTAAAAGGAATCTGCTCAGAGTATTGTTGAGGCTATTCCTCAACAAGGTTTTATGTTTTAGTCCGTTCCGTTTCTCATCTTTTGTATGTCATGTAGACCACAATCCTTCAGAGAGTAAGTAAGTCAGTAATTTTATTTAACCACATGTCGCATATGAGCGATAGCTCGTTTTGAATGCAAATGTGGAAACCCACTCATCCCTCCCCAGGGGAGGACATCCATCACACAGTAATCTCGTGTGTGGGAAATTAACGTCTCCTACCCCTAACCCTGCAGGAGACGGGACCTCCATTTATTCGTCCCTATCCGCGAAGACTAGAATATCTAACCATTTCTTGATGTTATAGAAAGGTAGCATATTCATCTCAATTGTTTTAAGTCCTTGAGTGTTGGTCCGGCTGGGTGGTAATTTTACTCGCTATCCTTTTTCGCACGTGGTGAAGCGCTTATAAAATTTTGTGTACGTAAAACTTTCCTTTTCTTTCGCTTACCGCCCTTCATAATGTGGTTTTTACGGCTCCCCGAGTCTCGTAATCTTTGATGAAAGGGCGACCCGCGGATCGTTTGTGAATATTGGTATTCTTTGCCGTCATTAAACTCGTTGGTCGAAGCGCTGTTCTGTTATTATTCGACATCTTCGCCGCTTTATGTGTACGACCCGGACAGTATGGTTTGGCGGTCGCAGCTTGATGAAACTGATATGGTCGCGAACATGACAAGGGATATTTTTAAAGTCACGTGATCACGGTTTCGTGGTTAGGTGGGTTTGGTTGAGACTTGGGAAGGCAGGAAAGTTGTCCATACAACTAACTTGCCCGTGACAGTTATTTTTCTATCAAATTTGTATACTCTGCAAATTATTTAGGAAATATTGTGGCACTGGCAGAGCAATATAGTGGCCTACTCTTTGCGGTGGAGCATCGTTACTATGGTCTAAGTACTTTTGAAGACTATTTGGAAACTGAGAACCTCAAATATCTTTCAAGTCAGCAAGCGTAAGTAATCTTAGCATAAAGAAGCGATACATGGTGAAATTATAAAATCGATAGTGGTTTGGTATGGTCTATACTCTTCAGTATCGACAAAGATGTTCGTAATAACAGTGCGCAAAATTTCTGGACTCACCGTGTGGCGTAGGCTCGATTACCAGCCGTTGTTCGGGAACAGAAGTCCGCGCTCCTCCCAAAGGAAACGAATAAGATCCGACTCGAGAGAGCTGCGGAAATCGAGCCTACGTATGACGCAGTTAAGTGAGTCTGCAACAGGTTTTGACCAATGTGATGGCGAATATCACAGAATAAAGACCACACTAAACCACGGTCGATTTGATTTTTATCACAATATCCATGTCAAATAAAACGATTCTTTCAGTGCGTGACCATTGCGTGTCACGTTGAAGCGAGCAACGTTGTCTGTACTATAATTGACCGTTACAGCCAATTGCGGTAAAAATTGCCCTCATTTTAAGCAATCAGATGATACCAAAATTGATATTCAGCATATTAAGTCTTTTTCCTCCTTGAGCTTAAGTTTGAGCGTTATCCAAAGAATAGATTTTGAGCTCTATAGTTATATTACGTTTGGAAATCAAGAGCGAACGAAACAAATAATATTCCTTCGAAACGACTCCTCTGTTTTAGGACTGTCAGTGGCGTCAAGATTTTTCAATGAAGCTTGTTACAAGTTCCTGCGGCGAAAAATACGTCATCTTATAGAAAATCCCTTTTCTTTTTGAGAACGATTAATGATGTTCCGAATGTTTCTTTACAGATTGGCAGACTTGGCCGAGTTTTGTGTCTTTGCCCAGAAGACGTACAAACTCACAGATCAGAATCAGTGGGTTGCATATGGCGGTTCCTACCCGGGAAATCTAGCCGCTTGGTTCAGACTGAAGGTAAATTTTCTTCAGATTCTTCTCTTCTAGACAAAGATTTGTTTTTGGCCGATATTTTTTACATTGCCTACCTAGCAGGGAGAATTTATCCGGTTACACTTTTAGAGTTGTGTGTGGGCCCTGTGCAACGTGGAAACGCCGACGAATTTAGAAATGTAGGGGAACATGTTACGGCGAGTGCAACCTCGCCGGCTCCACATCGAGAACACATGAACAGCGCAAGGAAAACAATTGGTTACAAAACCGATTAAAGACTCCTACAGTACAGAACACTAGCCCACCCTCGAAATTGACAATTAAAAATACAAGCAATCCTAATTTCTTCAAAGTGGTTCATCATTCTTTGTGTTTTATTCGACATAGTATCCTCATCTTGTGAAGGCAGCGGTTGCGTCATCAGCGCCTGTGCAGGCCAAGACAGATTTTCAAGATTACAAAAACGTAGGTTATCTGACTTTTAGATATTTCCAAAATTAATTAGGTCGTTGATGGCTCATCGCATGAAATGTCGGCAAGATGTGTCATGAGTGTCATAACAAGCGAGAAAACTAAATATACGGGAAAGTTAGTATCAGCGCACGATTCTTGATTCCTGAAAGCTCACACAAATACAGAATAGGTAACGAAAAAGATATGGACAGGAGAAATGTCTTTAAAAATATATATATATATATATATAAAAAAAAATCGCTATTCGGTCTTAACAATCTTTGTTTAACGTATGTATTTATTTATGTCTAGGTTGCTGCCGCAAGTTTCGCGTCCCCACTTGTTGGTGGGTCCATGCAAGTACGTTTTGATTAGTTTTATTGTGTTGGAATGTGAATTGTGCAACGTAATACATAACTATGATTTGAATACCTATTTCAGATGAAAAATAAAATGCATATTGCGTTTGACCGTACCTGAACTTTGGATAGTGTTCAAATAAAATTAGAGATGCACATTTATCATTTTAAACAAATTCCTCTTTTACCGTATTTCTTGAATTAGCAAAGGACATTACAGGGATCAGTACATGTGGTGCTTGTCCAGTGCACTTGTCGCTCGAGATCTCCAGTTTGTTACAATATACCGTTAATTAAGTGATTTACTCTCGCTTACTTTTATAGTGTCAGAAAAATATAATGGAAGCCTTCGCCTATGTGAACCAGCTGATCGCCCAGAAGGATTTCACGACTTTAGAGCGTGACTTCTTGTCATGCAATGATATTTCACAGCCGAATGACACTTGGCTCTTTGTCGAGAATATTGGTAACTTTTTGGACGGAATTGTGCAGTACAATTCTCAGGCTCCGGCTGGCTTCAGCATAGCATATGTGTGTCAAACTATGACAAATGCATCCCTCACTCCTTACCAAAGTCTTGGCTATTTGATACGCGTAAGGATATATTAGAGAGATTTAGCACCGCGTTTACGTGAAACGTGAACGGCTAGAGTGACCACGTGACCTTTTTTCCGGACATTGTTTTCACGTTCGACGGTTTCGCTTTGCCATTTCTGTGTGAAAGTAACCTGTTTTGCGTTTGCCGTGTAGGTAAAATTTTCTTCACTTTTTCTCTCACAGAGTAGAAGTTTATTGCCGGAAAAAGGGCACAAAACTATTCCTTCTGTGATTCAGGGGCGCCGTCAAATGATCTCGTGTGAAGCTACAGCAGCTGGGTTCACGCTATTTTACATGAAACGTGAAAGGGCAAGCTGACGTCTGCCGTTTCACGTTCACGTGGTGCCAAATCTCTTTATTGATATTCTATTTTAAACACGAATTTCACTCATTTGTGTGCTGACGAAATTTTTTTTTTACTGTATGGGAAATTTCCACTTTTCTTAACTTTTCGATTCTCGTGAACAGCTTATCGTAAAGTACAGGCCTGCTAAGTTCGAAATTGTCTTGTGCTGTTTTGTTTAAACTTGGTCCTTTCTGATACGGGGATAGAAGTACAGCCAGTACTTAAGCAGATTTTAAAATTCCAAGCTATCGCTCCCCGTCAGATAGACAAAGAGTTGACTATGAAGTAGGTTTACTTTCTCAGATCATTCCGAACTGTTACAGAAGAACAACAAGTTCTTTGTTATAGGAAATGTTACTGTTCGTCGTGGTTTTATTGATAAATTAACGTTTGATCGTTTGTCTCACCATGTAGAGTCAATCTATCAATTGTATTGATCGTAACAAATTCTTTCTGTTCAATGGCTTTGGTGGCCTTCTTGTGCATATCTTTGACCTTGTGTGCAACGATTTTTGTATTTTGCAGTACTATCTGGATCATTTGAGACTTCCCTGCGTGAATAATAACTACACAGCATACTTGGAAATATTCAAGAACACAACCCAAGACCCTACGGGCTCTTCGATGATTCGCCAGTGGATCTATCAGACTTGCACTCAGTTCGGATACTGTAAGTTCCAGTCGATTAGATGCCACAAAGTTCTTACATTTTTGGATTCTGTTCTTGACTCTAAATACCCACGATCTTGTTAAAAATTCATCCTTTTAGTTGCTACCCATTTGACTGTGAAGTAAAGAGTTGGCGAGAAACACCTCTGGATAGTACATTTTTCTCATTCTTATCACCATTTGCTTGTTTATGTCACTATTTTCGCTGCTATAATCATTATTATCATATGCATACATACATAGGTTAATTAACCACTCCCCATAGGGGCTTTTCAGGCTCAACATCCACCTATCCCTCCCAGGGGAGGACGTCCATCACACAGTAATCTCGTGCGTGGGAAACTAACGTCTCCTACCCCTAACCCTGCAGGAGACGGGGCCTACGGTTTATTCGTCCTTATCCGAGAAGACTAGAATATCTATCCATATCTTGATTATAAAGGTAGCAAATTCTCCTCACTTATTTTAAGACCATGAGTATTGGTCCGGCGGGGGGCTCGAACCCACGACCTCCCGCACAACACAATCTGGCGCTCTAACCAATTGAGCTAACCGGGAGGCGGTTAGATCAATTGATAATATGATAATATTATGATATGATAATATGAGTGATGCATCACTCATTATTATCATCATAATCTTTCTTACGTATACTATATGTAGATGAAGCAGTTGCAGTTGTTAGTATTGGTGTTCATTATGATGATTATCGTTATTATCCTTTTCCTCAACAGCGTAGGTCTTTAGGTTTCTCAGGCGTCTCACCTAGTTTACGCTTTTACTTCTACTCAACTTACACAAATGTTCATTGAATCGTCATTGTTGTATCTTTTTGTAGATCAAACATGTGAGAAAAATACAAGCTGTATTTACTCGAAAGTCCCACACGACCTTGAATACGACCTGGATATTTGTTTTGAGGCCTATGACATTCCCGCTCAGGACGTGTATGAAAGAGTAGCATTTACAAACGCTTACTACGGAGGAAAAACGCCTAAAGGCTCAAAGATTGTGTTTGTAAATGGTGAGAGATTTGAAGTTTTAGATAGAAAGGAAGCTCTTTAATGGTCTTTAATTTTGCGTTTCATTAGTTGAAGGCTTCGAAAACCGAAGCGTCAATCCTAAAATCGTTATGAAAATAAAAAGAATTACAATTAAAATTTTTTTAAAAATTTTCAATTTTTTAAAACTAAACTAGTGAGCTGCACTTCTGCGAACGGTGGTTTTAAAACCTCTTTATTCTTCGACGCGTTTTGTCCAACTGTCGTAAACGTCTTCAGGGAGTTTTACAAGTACCGCTGAACGCCTGTATTTGTAAGCCAAAGTTAGCGGCTACTACGTGGAAAATGGCTAAAGAGACTTAGGAGCAGGAACAAGGCGAAGTTGCGAAGAAATTAAAATGTGTAAAGCAAAGCGAGAAAAGTATTTTGGGGGCCACGGTTTTAGCTAAAACGCGTCGGAGAATAAAGAAGATTTACAACTACTGTTCGCAAAAGGGCTACTCAGTGCTTTTAAATGATTAGAGAAATTATTAGAAATAAAAAAAGTCGTTTTTATAGAAAAATCCGGTTCAAATTTTAGCTTCCAAAGAGAATGCCTCGAGGAAAGTTCCATGCTAGTAAAATTGTGGTCTGCTAGGAAGCTGTAACGCGAACTTATACTGTAATGATCAAATCCAAACTTCTCTTATTTTCGGAATTTCGGCCACTGTAGAATGAGTTTTTTGACAAGGTCGATGAATAAGTATTTTGCAGCTCTCAAGTCTTTCTCTCAAAGAAAATTTCCCAGAATGCCGGAGTCCCTTCCGTTTTTTATGTTACTATGTTGGAACTACGAGTATTGCTTATGCTTCCAGTATCCTGGTTAATCGCAAGTTAACACTCCTAATCGCAAGTTAATCGCAAGTTAACACCTCGTCCCCACTCCCCCCTCCCTTTCCTCCCTACCTCCGCATCTCATTAGCTTTCTGTCAGTTCCTTGGGACCCATCAATACTCCTGGACGGAGAGCGCAAGATGTGAGAGTGATGTGTATATTACATTACTTTTACAATTTTTTTCTGTTATGTTCTCCGTTGCAGGATCTATAGACCCCTGGCATGCATTAAGTGTTCTAACGAACCAAAGTGCATCTGAAGTGGCTATTTTTATCCCCGGCACTTCCCACTGTGCTAACATGCTTCCTGATTCACCCGATGATCCACCCGCCTTGTGTGAGGCTAGAAAGGTTCGACCTAGTTTCCTATCACATACTTTAAAATCATGCGGTTTTTGTCTACTGTTCGTGCAGAAAGCTACCTATTAAATGACCATGAAGGTCACATCCTATGATTTACCTTGTAAATATCCCGCCATAGTTTCTGAATGATCTTTCTTGAAAAAATATCCCATAAAAACACATGCTTTTTATCATTTTAACTTTTAACATGCTCTTTATGAATAGTGGTGAGAACTAATTCGAAGTCTCTGCAACTGGCCAAAAACTCCACTTTGCAACCAGTAGCTACTAAAGCGCACAGCCAAATAAAAACAAGTTTTGCTTTTTGTTCTTATTCTTAAAAACTTATTTGATGGTATAACTCTTGAGACTGGGTGGACAGGAATTTATTCACACTTCTTATAGATCAATTGTTGGTTTCCTTTCCAGCAAGTTGCAGCACTTATCGGCGAGTGGTTGGAAGCTAGCCGATCTTCTTTGGATATATCACATTAAGCCAGCTGATATCCTTCATCTCCTGATACATGGATAGAGCTGCTGATTATGATTTTGTATCTATGAGAGTTAGAAGTATGGTCCGTAGAGTCTTAGGCTGATCTCAGTTTGCGGCTTTCCATTGTTCTCACACCTTTGGCAGGAATTTAGGCAAGATAATTTGGTTTGCGGCTTTCCATTGTTCTTACACCTTTAACAGGAATTGGCAAGATAATTTGGTTTCAGCAACTGAGTTGACAATGTAAACTCGCCACCATGACGAGATACTAAAGCTGATATTTCTGGTGTTCGGCGAGTGGTTGGAAGCCCTCGGGGAGCAGGGTTGGCGTAGTGGTGAGAGCGCTCGCCTTCACCAATGTGTCCCGGGTTCGATTCTCGGACCCGGCGTCAGTAGTGGATTGAGTTTGTTGATTCTCTACCCTGCACCGAAAGGTTTTTCTCCGGGTGTTCCGGTTTTCCCCTCTCCTCAAAAACCATCATCATTTGAATTTATTTAATTTAGAGTCTATTTGCATTTACACACGACCCCGCAAGCTGTTCAGCTTTAAACATTATTGTGTCTAAATAAAGGTATTATTATTATTATTATCATTATTATTATCATGTATTCGCCCTTCGTCCTTCGCTCTGTCGAAGGGCTAACGATCTAAACGTTAGCTTTCAAATCTCTTTATGGTAGCTTATTAACATTATCAACTCAGTTGATAAAACCAAATTATCTTATGATCCCCCCTCACCGACAAAGCTTGTTTGTACACGAGTGAAGATCAAAAACACATTTGAATATTTTCTTATCCCTTTATTATTTCTACCCCAAAGAAAACACACATTTTTTTTTTCATTTGTGGTACGTCAGTAGTCTAACATGGACGTCAGGTATTCATTCTAGTTGTTTTTCATCTTGTCTGTGACCCAGTCTTTCAAGTAACGCACTTTAGCATAAACTCCAAACTTGTTAGGTAGTGCGCATCCGTGCCCCCAGCTGGTAGCCCCCTCGAGGTACCATTTGCCACTGAATTCGCACACCATAGGTCCGCCACTGTCACCTTGGCAAGCATCGATTCCTCCCATGTCAAGACCAGCGCAGATCATGGACTCATGAATGCTTCCTCCGTAGGCCTGCTGACATTGTGCATGAGATACGATCGGTACCGACGCTTCTTGGAGTTCATCTGGCTGTTCACCCCCGCTTTGCAGCGTTCCCCATCCTGTAATGTAGCACTTCTTTCCCGGCACTAGGGACAGGTTTGCGTCAGGCAGGCATACGCGTCCTACACCCTTGTCGATCTTCGCACTTTCAGTCAGTTTAAGTAGTGCGATGTCGTTCTGGAAATTATTAGGGTTGTAATTCTCGTGCTTAATTATTTTTTGCACTTGAATTTCTTGCCCGATGTCCGTAATTTTGTGAGCACCCATCCTACGGATAACAATCAAAACTGCATGCGTTAAACAAGACCTTGCATGAGCAGCTCATGCATTTAGCCGGAGACTGACGATCGATGTCCAATATGCAGATTAACCCAACTAATAACAAAAGCTGATAAAACTTTACCGCCCTTAATTCTATTTGATTTCTTACGGAGTCCTAATGTGAATTACCCCATGTTATGCTCACACGGTAGCTCTCAAGTATATCTCTAGCTCTCTAGTATACTTAAATCCAACGGACAAATGTACCTAATGGTCATCGTGTGACATTGATCAAATTTCACAGCTTCGTAGTTTATCATGTTCAAAAAGCTTCATATGCGCGCCAGAGGTGAAAGAGCTCTACTATCAGCAAAGGTATGCATCAACTTGCCACAAGCTATATTGTAGTGGCCAGTGAGTTTATTTAGCAACTACCACCAAATAATTAGTAAGGTTTTTCTAAGAAACAAAGCATACAACTAAAGGATGCATTTACTGTGAGGGTTAACTGATATGAAAGGACAAACCCGAATAACCGCTGAAAAGTTTTGCATTCTTGGGTCGAATTTATTGCACATTTTGCACGGTTACTTGATGTTTTTTCTGTGATTGGTGGTGAACTTTTTACTTTACTTCCGGAACTTGGAATACCGTGATTTGGGGGCCTAAATCCATTCTAAGATGAGCTACCTTATAGTTGTCACTTTGAATTTCAGGCTCTCCACTATTCTGACCAATATATCAATAAGTTTTGTACAAAAAATCAGTCACCAACCTTATAACAACACGATCTTCTGAAGAACCGTACACACAGTGGGCGGCCGTCAACACCCAATTTTCGTCAATAAGAGATCCCCCACAGAACTGCCTTCCACCAGGGCTGGCTAACATAGCTTGCCACGGCCAGCTGCCTATTTCAGCCGCGCTACCGCCAACAATACGTGACATAGACGGTCTAGATCCGCAATCGCTGTCTATTATTTAAAAGAAAAATCTACATGATATCTAGTTATGATTTACTAAACGTTTCACCGTTAGGAAAAAAACAATAATAACGTCCTCGGAAAGCCATCGATATTTCCAAGAGGAAATGCTCTCGTGGATCGTACCTGATGATGATCCTCCTCCTCCTGGGGTTGGTAAGGGAGGGGTGGTTGGGGGTGTCGTCGGAACTGTTATCGGGGCTAAACGGAAAGAGATGTTTCTTTACTGAATTAGACAAATGACACTTAAAAAATATATGCAAGGTCTTTTTAATGAAGACTGATTCTTCTGGTGCATACTTCACATATCTAACTGAAAAATTCCACCAGCAACCGTCAGAAATGAAGACTGGGAACAGTAGATTAATTCCATTTCAATTCCATTGTTGGACTACAGGATAAAAGGGAAAATAGAAAATTGTAGTCATTGACTTTTTCGATCCCTCCTTTTGACCTTAACGCATTGTTGACCACCTTACTATGCTCCTTTGTTCGTTGGAAAATAGAGGGAAAAAGGATACCCTTCATAAACAACCAGAATCCAACCATACGTCATCCTTCTTTACATTGTTACTTTTTCACAAATAAGATCCTGTTGTTTTTCAAACGTGTTTGCAGTTTA